ATTTACCTTTGATTGTTCAAGATTATTTAATGTATTTTCGACTAATTCCGATAAATGATCAGATAAATGTTGATGTGAAATATTTTGTAAATTATAATAATTCGGATTTAATGTTAATCGTCGATAGAATAAAGTCCATGTTAAATAATCTATAGCATCTTGTTTATTTTCAATCGTTTTTGTAATAATTTCAGCATTAAAATGATCATGGAGATAAAGATCAAGGTGCGATTCAATTGGTATTGATTCATAGAGAAATTGTTTATAAAAATGCTTTTTCGATAATAAACACATTAATAAAACTTTTGAAGAATTATTTGTTCGACTTATCATTTGTAAAATATCATTTATTGAATAATCATCATAGATATGTTTCGCTTCATGATAATGTTGTGTATCCATAATAATAACGAAATAAGAATAAATATTCAATGTATAAAGCATGCTATGTGATACAATACAGATTTGTATAGCATTTAATGTAAATAATTGCTCGATTATAGAACGGTCTTTGTTATTTAAACCTTCATGTATGAATGCAATTCCATGTAGAATAGTTTGTTTCAAGATTTGGTTGTCGATCTGTTCGATGAATAATTGAATGTCGACTGTTGACATATGTAAGAATCGACCTTGGTTTTGTTCACCGATAGTAAATGTTATGATATCGGTTGCTGTTGATTGTGATAAAGCTTTTGATGGTACGAAAATGATGACTGGATGGATTGATGAATGACGATTAATGGCTTGATAAACTGGCTTTGCCATTGCAATTAATCGTGACGTATTATGTGTGATATTGAAAGTCTAATTCAAAAAAAAAGAAAAATTAAAATAATTTTTTCTGTCGTGTCTACTTACTTGAATATGTAGATCAAGTGGAGTAGATCGAACATTTGCACGAAAATTAAAGGTGGCATTTGTGGAACAACCAAGCCACTGTGCAATATCTTTACTATTGAGTATTGATGTTGACATTGCAATTATACGAATTTTTCGTTCTAGTTGAGAACTTATATAACGCATACGAGAACAGATTATTTCAAGGACAGCCTAGAGAAAAAAATTCAAAATAGTAATTTATTCATGTGATATTAAAACATGAAAACACGTCAGAGTTACAATCTTCCTTAACTCAAAGATTTTTCTATATACAGAATTTATGACATGTTTTCTAAATTTCTAATAAGGCGAGAAATAGATAATACTATTAATACATTTTCATTGTTTTATATAACATTTTTTGATAAAGAACGCACTACTTTAATCATTAAATTGATCATTAGTTTCTCTAGAGACTACCATGACTTAGTCAATCCTTTTCTATACAAAATAATATAACTTACTCCTTCATCTGAACCGATAATGTGTAGATTATCGACAATAAATAGTTGTATATTTTGAATATGTTTACGTTGTTTCCATCGACGTGATAAATTATCCCAATGTTCTGGTGTTGAAACAATAATATGTCCCTAAAGTAACGAAATACAATTAATAATTCTCATTATTATATTTAATAAACTTACGTTTGCAATTAATTTAAGATCAAGAGTTGTGTCACCAGTAAGCATGACAACTTTTCGATTAATTATTCCAAAACGTTTAGTCCAATCATCTCGTATAATTTCAGCTAGTTCCTCTTTGGGTGTTATATAAACACATTTCGATTCAAGGTTTTCATTAGAAAATAATCTTACTATAGCAAATTCAGCACATGTAGTTTTACCAGAACCATTCGATACACCCAAGAAAACATTTTCATCTGTGTTATACAATGTATGAAAGACTAAAATAAAAGACAAATAGAAAAAAAATATTTCTTGAAATCTATTTTTACCTTGTGTTTGAATATTATTAAACATTTGAAAATTATATAATTTTTCATATTCTGAATTACATAAGTCTTTAACAGGTATTAATTCTAAATCGCGTAATTCAGTTGGTAATGTTTGTTTTTCAGGTAAGATTAAATGACGAAATGAAATAGCTATTTGACTTTCTGATGATAACCATTTATCAGATACAACTCGAATAAAATATTGTGGTGGTAATGTTTCATAAATTGGGATAAATAATTTTACATAATGTTTATCTTCACAATATTTTCTAAAAAATAAGAAAATATTTTTTTAAGAAAAATAAACTACTAATCTTATGTTATTACAGTTGGGGAGAATCCACTGTACTTACGTCAATGATAATGTCCTATTGACGAAGAGACGGTAAGAGAATATTTTGAGCTGAAAGTTATTCTAGTAGATTTATTTCTTAAAGGATAAATATAGAAGCGATGCGATTTATAGTCGGTGATGTCAATTAATCCGGAAAAGGAAAATCCGGAAAAATAAAATCCGGAAAAGAAAATTCCGGAAAAATTTTACCCAAAGTTTATTAATGATAGAAGACACAATAAGTAAAAGGTGTAGAAATATAAGAGACAATCCGATACGCTTATTTCTTTGAATCGAACAGAAGTGAGAATCCTTCGAGAAGCTCGTTACGATCAATCTCATTGTTGTAGCTGTGGATGGGTGATGGTGAATGCAGATGGGAATATACAGGTACGGACTACTCTTCTTCCACACCTGCATCCTCACCCACACACGCACGACAAAATCTTTCGAGATGATTTATTTCTTTTCCGGACTTTTCTTTTCCGCATTACTTCACATATTCTTATAGTCTACTTTAATCAATCTGAGTTTATCGTATGAAAAAAAAAGTCTTTTGTTATTAACTTACTTTTTTAGAAGAAAATATTCATGATGAAGTAAAATATCTGAATCCGTATCTTCGACAAAGATCCAAAATGGCTAAAAAACAGAAAAATAGTTTAATCTTTATTATTTTGTAATATAAACATACCTCTGCCATTCCATGAATTGTTTCATCCCATTGAAAATCAGGTGTTATCGTCAATTCAATTTTAAGTAATGATCGAGTTATTGGTAGAATAGATGCATTTAAATCTAATTTCGGTATATGATGTATATATTTATAAACCATTTTGCCAATTTTTGGTGCACGAAGAAATTCACCTGAATAAAATTCAATATAAAAAAAAATGTTTAGCGAAAGTGGTAATATTATCCTTACCAATCTCATTTGCATCTAAATCAAAATATCTATCCCATGAAATATTTTTCTTTTCAATTTTCTGATTAATTAGTTGTGGAATTTTCTTAAATTGTCTTAATGGACACATACTTTGCCACCTAAAACAAAAAAATTAATCGAAAAATAAACAATAATCTTCACTTACATTCGTTTTTCAATCATTTTTGCTAAACATAATATTTTATCAACACTTCCTGCCCATTTTTTCTGTAAAACAATTTCAAATATAGCTCGAATTAATCTTCCAGCATTTTGTACTATATAAATCATATCTGCCATTAATGCTAAGCCATCAATTTTCAATTGCGATATATAAACTTGTAAAAGTACATTAATTTTTGCACTTGATTCACTTATATCTTCTTTAATCGGTATTGGTACACGTTCAATTAATTTTTTTAATTCAAGTTTTTCTTCTTCACGTACAGTTATATGACGAAATTCTGATGATAAAGAAAATATGCGAAATAATTCAATTTCATTTAATGTTGGTTTAAGTAATTTATTATACATTGATATTGTTTCGTGAGTACAATAATAATAACTTGCAATACGACCGTGTTCAGTCATTTGAAAATTGCCTGTTTTACGATCATAATGAATAAGATGATTTTTATCTAATTGTACTGCTGCAGAATGTATTAAATCTAGACGTCGTTGAAGAAGAGTATTATCAATCTGTAGTGATTCATTTGATATACCATATAATTGTGGTTGTTTTCTCATACGAATATATAAATAAGTATAACGAAGCCATTCAGCAGCTTCATGAATATTTTGAATAGTTCCAAGAACAATTTCAGCATTGAGATTATCAATTAATTTTGATATCAATTGACTTTCAATTGCAAGCTAAAAATATATAAATTAATTTTTTTAGATATAAAATAGGATTATTTTACCTGTTGATTCATTAATGATAGATAATATTGTAATTCATTATGATTAGTTATTAAAATACCTTGACCAAGTTTATCATATTGAGGACGACCAGCTCGACCAAACATCTATAAATTAAAGATATACTCGTTTTATTTTTTTATTCTCTTTCTCGTAGAGCAGAGTCCAGTAAACATAAATTGTCTGTTTGTGTGTCCGCAGGGTCAAAAAAACATCGAAAACCAATTTTTCAAAAAAGATATTTCTATGCGGGGAGTTCGAATCTGAGAACTATTGGGTGACCGTTTGAAGAGGGGTTAAAGGTCAAAAAAATATCAAAAGTCAATTTTTCACGGTTTTCATTTGTTTTTTCAATAAACATGAAGAAAATGCATTTCTACGAGAAAGAGCGTTACTTATATCAAAATAACTTACTTGCATAATATCAAGTGCACTTAATTCTGTCCATCGACCTTTTTCAGGATTATAAACTTGTGTACCTTTGATAATAACTGTACGTGCTGGTAAATTAACACCCCAAGCAAGTGTAGCTGTTGATACAAGTACTTGTATATGTCGATCACGAAAAAGTTCTTCAACTAATATTCGATCAACACGGCTCATACCAGCATGATGAATAGCAAATGAATATGGCAGAAGATCTTTTAATTCTAAATTCTAAAATTAAAAAAAACACAAGTTATTCAAATGAAATTATTTCATAGAAAACCCTAGTGACAGTTCTATTAGAATGTATAATGAACGTTCGATAGAATCCTACTAATATAATAAGTGTCATAGCCTAGTTTGTTCTTCTTTCTCTTCTAAATCCAATAATTTCCTTTTGTGTCTTAATCAATAGTAAAGAAATGTAAAATAGTAATTACCCTTTTCAAATGTTTTATGAGAGTGAAAATGATTGTCCTAGAAATATTTTCTATCGAAATAAAAAAAAATTATCAGTATTAGCAATAAAATCATTTATACTAACCTTTGTTACTTCTGATTCAGCACGAAGTAATCCATCTGAACTTGAATCTTTTTGAAGAAAACATCCAATAGTACCTTTTTCAATACATTCATCACGAATAGCTCTTGCTGTTCTTACTGTATCTTTTCTTGAATGTACAAAAATAAGTACCTTAAAAGAAGAAAATGAATATATTTTCAGAACAAAAAAACGAAAATTCTTACTTGATGTTTTCCAGCCCGTTCAATAACTTTTTCATAAAGAAGATTATTCATAATTTTCAAACGTTTGATTAATTTCTTTTCTGTTATACCAATATATTCTTGTTCAAGGGGTACAGATCGATAGCTATTATCAAAATAAAACAATCCATTAGATCTAACGTTTAAAAATTCAGCTATATCCTCATAATTAGGTAAGGTCGCACTCAATGCAACTAAACGTACATTATCTCGTGTTATTTCAATCCAACGTTTTGTTCGAGCAACAATTGCTTCAAGTACAGGACCACGATCATCATGTAATAAATGTATTTCATCAATAATTATTAAACGTACTAATTTTATATATGTACGTTCATCACCTTTACGTGTAATAATATCCCATTTTTCCGGTGTACAAACTATAATTTGCGTTTGATTGATTTGTTCGCTTGTTAATTGATGATCACCAGTTAATTCTGATACTTTAATTCCATAAGGATTTAAACACTAAAAAAACAAACAAAAGATAAATTTTAATTATTCATATTTATTTGTTAATTACTTTGGTGAAAGTTTGAACAATTTCTTGAACAAGTGATTTCATTGGTGCAATATAAACTATCTTAAATTCATTCGTATTAATCGAACTATCAGGTAAAATATGTTTTCCTATTTCATGTAAAATACAAAGTAATGCAACTTTAGTTTTACCAGAACCCTAAATAAACAAAAAACAAAGGATATTTCATATTTAAATCATTTTACTTACAGTCGGTGCGCATAATAGAATGTTTTCATCAGTTTCGAGTGTAATTTGAACCATTTGTGATTGAATACGATTCAATTGATGACAATCATCAAATGCTGGTTGAACATATTTAGGTAAATTCGATATTTGATAAAGAGTCTAGAAATGATTTAAAGATTATTTTGAATAAGAAATTTTTTTTTTTATAACTTACGTGTTGTGAATTAGTTTCGGAAGGTTTAATTGTAGGAATATGTATTTCTTCATAGCCATTTTTTTGTACACGAAATGAACCATTTGGTAATTCACAAGTTCTATTTGACATAAAATGACCTCCTTGTTCAAATGTTAGATCTTCTAAATCAACAATTTGATGTTTATTCAAACTCATTTCATTTTTATCTATTTCCATGATTTCTTCATCATCATTTACATCTATTCTTGATAAATCTTCTAAAATCCAAACTAATTCACTATTATTTCGCATTTTTTCTTCAATTTTCGCTCTTTCCATTTCATTTTGTGCTGATGCAAGTACAGTACAATAAAGAACTATAAAATATAAAACATATTAATGATGATTATAAAAATCTGTCTATTATCTTACTCATTTGTCGATGTGTTCGTAGAAGTTTAATAAATTGAACTTGTTCACAACCAAATAAAAGAATAAGTTTATTTTCTAATTCATGATTATTCGATGCTTCATCGAGAATGGTAAGAACTTGTTGAGCTTTAATATTCGGATTGATATTATTTAAATTTCTCTGTAACCATAATGCATCAATTGTACGTGGTTGTAAAGTTTGATTTCGTTGAATTGAATCGTTAGTTTTATTGACACGTATTTCTTGAATTGTATCATCTATTATAGCTTCTTCACCATCAGATACATCGAAATCATCAAAATTGTTCTCCTCATCACTTGAACCTTCAAATTGTACATTGACATTCTCTGTATGATCGATTGGAATAACTAAAATAAAAAGAAAGATGGATTCTTAATTATTGATTATTTTTATTTATTTACTTTCGTCATTTGATGACCAATCATTAATTTGTTTGCCAAGATTAATAAGAAATGCAAAGCGTTCAGGTGATAATTTAGTATTTAACAAAGCTTCAATTTCATTTTGACGTTCTTTGTCGCGTAATCGATCATTTTTAAGTATACATAAGATTTCATAAGCTGCATCTGATAAAATATTTGGTACCTAGTAGATAAAGTAAAATTTATAAAAATGAAATTTTATTAAATAGAAAACTAACTTGATCACCAATTGTTTCTTGAATAAAATTAAGTAAAATTTTATATATTTGTTTTGTTTCTTCAGTTTTTGGTTCATATGAAACATTTGATGTATCATTAAATAATGACAGATTTTTGAAACGAGTTGTATCGTATCCTAATGAATTATTATCATTTATTTTTTGTTTTCTAAATAAATAGAATAAGACAGTAAATAATAAAAAAAGAGAAATAGTCATAAAATACAAACTTGTTAATAGATTGAGGTCTTGTATGTTGTACTCGATCACCCATTCGAACATCTTTTAAATGTTCCAATAGAGACGATACTTCACAAGAAGGTTCCTTACGTATACGTTGATCATGCATTGATGTATTTGTTGGTAAAACAAGATTAGCATTCTATTAATAATAGAAAGATATTATTTGAAATAAAATTAAAAATTCTGTACTTACAGTTGAATAGTCATGTTGAGAATCGCGAGCAAATTTTTCAGCCATTGTTGAAAATAATTCCGATATGACAGTGGAAATAATTGTAATATAATTTTAGACTAAAAATTTCAAAAGATATTATGAAAGAATAAAAGTAAATGAGGCAAGTAAGATATTGCAAAATAACCATCTAGTCATGAGTAAATGAAACTACATTGGAGAAAAGACGATCAATTTATAAATAAGCAGCTGATTTCAAGTCATATAACAGTGACATCTGTGAATAGGACTCTTTTCGATTTATTTCTCTTATACTACTTGTTACTTGTTGAATTGAATATCGATTATGTTATATATTCTTATAAAACATTTATTAATCTAAACTGATGGATTCAATATTGTGAATAGTAATACATGATGCATTTGAAAAACTTCTATGTTTATTATTCATTAAACTGATTTTTAGGTCAGTATATGTAATCAATATTGTTGACAAAACAATGTCATACTACATCTAATTTTTAATATATATTTTTAAAAACGAACATTTAATATTCATCGTATTTTAATGAAAGACACGCATGGAAGCACACAGATGTATGACAAACATATATTTTCATATTAAATATCGATGAATCTGATTATTATGTCTTTACATTGTAAACAGGTAAATGACGTGATCATACTAATACATTAGTATAAAAAGAAAGCAATGAAAACGAACATTAGAAATAGAAAAAAAACCTTAAGTAGACTGTACAAGAAAAGTATTTATAATAAAAACAACATCAAACTTTGAGTATTATATTTGTTTTACATATGTTTGTTTCCGCTAATTAAAATCAGTGAATTATTCATTTTTTCTGTTGTCAATTATCGTTCGTAACAAGTATAATAAAATAAATGATTAGTAATCGATCATCTAGTCTTGAATCTAGGGCATGTTTACACCAAGAAAAAGAATGTATGTGCAAGACTGATTTTATCTTCACTGTGAATAAATCAAAAAAAAGAAGGGAATACGAGCACGATATATTAATCTATGAATGATGCCAATATTTTTCTTTATTGTTATAGTTTTTATCGATCACAATTATAAATAATAATAGCTTTGTTGGAAAAAAAACAAATATCTTTTTGTTTTTTTTTCTTATTTTTATCTAAAAATTAATGTAAAAGTAAACGCATGTGGTAAACCTACAAAACATTTTCAATAGAGTAGGTGGATTCGCATTTTAAACATCGCCACCATACTATAAATACAATAAAATCAGAGTGTAAATTATCAGTAAACATCAAAATATTTATTGAAGCGATTCATTCATTCTAACCTAAAATAAATAATATTTATGATGGCTGGTAACAACGTTATGCGATACTGGATGATGATTTTGATCTTGGGTGTCATTATTAGTATGGCAATAGCTGGCAGAATATACAACGATGAGTTAGATGATAGTGAAGAACGTGAAAATCTTAAACGAGAAGTATTCAAAGCTCTTCAGCAAGCAAAACGCGACGGAGATATCGACGACTTCTTTAAAAAAGTTAAAGATTGGTTCAAAAGTATAACTGACTAATCAAGTATATCTTTTTAATACGATTCTTTTTAAAATTTAACTGTTGTTTTATTTATAGATAAGTGAAGACAAATCATTCACTAGTAGATGCTCAAGCAAAACTGAACTTTTCAAAGAAACATTTTTTTGACTAACATAAATAAATATTTAACTGACAATTTTTTGAGTTCTTCTTATTAGTTTTTCTTCTTTTGGATTTTTCTAACATATAAATATTTGCACAAAATAATTTGTTTTTTTTCTGATGAACTTCAAAAGAAACATACCGAACTATGTGTTTATATGTTGAAAATGGTTTACAATAAGCTGAACGAAAGAATCAGATGAAATTTAGATATAATACTATTCAAATTGGTTTTTATTTGACATTAAGATGACCTTTCTGAGTAAATTTTAAATTTCTTATACAAAAATGTTGATTGATCATTGATATCACATTAATTAGTATTAATTATTAGTAATTTTTAATGGAATTGAAGAGTTAAAACATTAATTTAATATTCTCATCCTTTTCGAATGACAGGGGGTAAAGAATACATATCAATCTTTTTTTGAATAGTGAAATATATAATACATTAATGATCAAACAAACTTACGTATACTTTTGAGTATAGTCTTTGTAATCATATACTTATAATGTGGTTTATTCAATTACATTACTTTTTTTTATGATTAATTTCTCCATGATGTTCATTTTTGTATACTCATATAAATTCGATCGAGCGAACAACAATCGATGTCAATATTTCGTCACTTTCTGGATTACAAATTCAATCTTTGGATGCGTGACTATAGTCCTACTATTTTACAGTAGATCATCTAGCTAAGAGCAAAAGTAGTAACAACATACATCCCCATTATGTTTTCACTCATAAGTCATTTCGTAACTCGATCATAAAAGCTAGTTTCTATAGTAATACTCATAAAAAATTGTTTTTATTCCAAAAATATCTTGTATTATAAAATAAATTATATCATTTGGTTCTTCGGATTAAAATTCTCTTTGTTTTAATTTGATTAGAATCGAAATATGTAAAATGTAATGTAATATTAATAAAAAATAACTAGACGATTGTTAACAATTAAGATACCAACAAAAAGAAGCATATCTTTCAAATGAATCACTATATAACGACGCATATTTATATTTATGTAAGAACAAGAATAAAACTTGATCAAATATACTCTTTTTTCTTCTTCATTTGTAAAATTGTATTCTTTATGACAAAAGAACAACAACAACGCCTGCCACTTTCTATACTAACTATTGGTGATTCGCTTACAGCTGGTTACTACAATGGTGGTTGGGGTCATCACCCATATGCTATTCATCTGACAGATCTATTAGAATCTATTAATATTCCAGTGAATATCGATCAACGAGGTGTAAGTGGTGAGCTAGTTGTACCAACGATGGTTGATAGACTTCATAGTATTCTAGAAAAAGATACCTCATACGATTGGATCGTCATATTAGGCGGAACAAACGATTTTGCTGATTCAACATCACCCGAAAATATCTTTGAGAATGGTTTGAAACCAATGTACGATATGTGTCTCAATCAACCGCAAACAAAAACGAAGTTAGCTGCTATGACTGTTATTGAAAACGCATATGATTCACCATCTCATGAAGATGATAAAGAAAGACAAGAACTAAATCAAATGATTCGGGATTATGTGGCCAATACTGATAAACCAGATAGGGTTTGTTTAGTAGACCTCGATAAAAGTATACCATTTCATAGTATGAACAATGACGAACGGCTACAAATTTGGGATGATAATGATCACTTAACACCTGCTGGGTATGATCGCATGGCTACATTAGTGTTTAATGTAATCAAAAATAAACTATAATGAAACTTTCTTTAATAAACAAAAATCTGTCACGATATTGAATTTGATAAAATAATTTCGAAAATTACAAAAAGATTTATTATACACAATCTTGGATTATAAAACTGATTGAGGAATAACTTTTTTCTATGATTATTGTCGAAAGATGCATTCTGTATATATATAACGACGCATATTTATATTTATATAAGAACAAGAAGAACACGTGGTCAGATACACGTTTCTCTTTTCTTCTTCATTTATAAAATTTTATTCTTTATGACAAAAGAACAACAACCACTGCCGCTTTCTATACTAGCTATTGGTGATTCACTTACAGCTGGTTACTACAATGGTGGCTGGGGTCATCATCCGTATGCTATTCATCTGGCAGATTTATTGGAATCTGCTCATATTCCTGTGAAGATAGATCAACGAGGTGTCAGTGGTGAACGAGTTGTACCAACGATGGTGAATAGACTTCATAGTTTCCTAGAAAAAGGTACCTCATACGACTGGATCATCATATTAGGTGGAACAAACGATTTAGCTGGTTCAGTATTAGCCGAAAATATCTTTACGAAAGGTTTAGAACCAATGTATGCAATGTGTCTTAATCAATCACAAACGAAAACGAAGTTAGCTGTTATGACTGTTATTGAAAACGGATATGATTCACCATCTCATGAGGATGATAAAGAACGACAAATATTAAATGATATGATTCGAAACTATGTGACCAATACTGATAAACCAGATAGGGTTTATTTAGTTGATCTCGATAAAGGTATACTATTTCATAGTATGAACAATGATGAACGGCTGCAAATTTGGGATGATTGTGTTCATTTAACATCTTCTGGATATGATCGTATGGCTACATTAGTGTTTAATGTAATCAAAAATAAACTATAATGAAACTATTTTTAATAAACAAAAACCTATAACTTTATTGAATTTAATAAAGTAAACCCGAAAACGTCAGAAAAGTTTATTATATATAATATTGTGTTATAAAATTGTTTAAAAAATAATAAAAAAAAGAAATTGATGAGTTTATAGGCAGACTGAAAAGGTGCAGTAAAATATTGATTGAATTTGGGCAGATCAATCGGAACGAGTATCGAGGGTGTGGGTGTGTATGTGTGCGTTCTGTCCATTCGACAATCACAATCTCACCCTTATTCACAACAATACCCTCAAGATGAGTTTTAAGTTTCAGGCACGTTTTGACGTATTTCTCTAAATTCAAAAGCGTTTACTTTTAAATAAACGAGACTAAAAAAGTTCTATTTAATGGCTGTTCTAGATCTTTTAAACTGGATTAGTTGACTTCTCTATATAAAACTCAATATACTTGCAAGATTAAAAGTTTAGAAAGTAAATAAGTATAATTCAAGGTTGACCGAATAACGTTTGCATAAGTTATATACTAAAATTTATCCAAGATTCTCATATAAACTAACAGTAAATCATGAAAAGTGAGAAACTAATGAAACATTGCTCAATATAATTCTTACAAGATCATCCGCCAAAAATTATTTTTTGAGTTGAAGTTCTCCTCTTGTTCAGCATTATCGAAAACCTTTAAATTCATATTTTTAACGCATTTGAATAAACTGGTGAAAAGTTAGCTCAATTTGATTGTGGAGCATTCAGGAGGTTATTTGAAAAATATTGTCAAAAATCATCTCTATAAAGGCAGGTTTTGTAAGACAACAAAAAATGAATGAAATGTGTATTATAATATACCAAAAGATAGAGCATTGAAAGCTGAAGAAAACGAACTATTTACTTATTAAATATTTTTCAGTATTTCAGCTGCCACTAAATCATAGTCAACAACATAAAGAGCATGCTTATATTTTAATTCACGTTAATATATGAGATCTTAACTCGCACTCACCAATGAATTACATTTTATTTTCACTTTATTCTATTCTATTATCGATTACATAAGATTTTTCTCTGAAGTTCTATTATTAAATTAAAACAATAACTATCTGACATTGAGAATATAGATAAAAAAGAAACAAAGATCTAGCAGGTGCTTGTTAATCATAACATATAGATATTAATTGAATATTGTCGTTATATTAAATTCATTTTATTTTATTTTACAAAATCAAACAGAACACAAAAAAGAATT